AGTATTATTTTAGGATAATATTAATAATGTTTTGCCAAATCTATTTTTATATTATATATTTATTGTATATGTATATTTATATACAATTTTTATAATTAAATAAATTACAATTTATATTTATATTTTAAATTATTTGTGTCAAGGTGTCAAAATTATGCCATTAGCCACTTACAGATATGTTATGCTAAAACAGTTATGCAAACAGTTTATGGGTGAAATATAGGTTTTAATTTTTCTTGACTATTACTTAATGTACTTAAGTACATTAAATTACTTACTTAATTTAATCATCATTTTTTTATGAACTGATCCCAAACCTTTGGGCTGTTAGAAGTCTATTATTATTATTATTATTATTATTATTATTATTATTATTATTATTATTATTATTGTTATTATTAATATTGACTGCTTAGAATCCACTCAATTGTTTAATTTCAGTTTTATTTATCTGACTGTCTAACTCTTCCTCCTCCTTCTCTTTAATGCTTGCGATTAGAGGCTATCAAGTGCTTAAACGCAGCAATTGATATTTACACAGACATGGTAAGATGTTTTTGTAGCTGTCAAAATCATATAATGTTGAGCCAGGCTGTTCTATTCCTGTACTGTGTTTGATCTGTGAACATTTTAAACGGCTACACACCAGCTAAACTCCCCCAGTAACTGTAATAGGACAGTTAATCATCTAGTCCCTATTCCAAAATCTAGTCTCTAAAGGAAGCCCAGAATCTGTGTCCAATTTAGGACCAACAAAGCTTGGAGATGTTAAAGTTGACCTATTATTCAGAATTCACTTTAATAAGGGGTTTAAACGCAGTTGTGTGGCAACAGTCTACGAATATAAACAGCTTCTAATTTTAAAAATATATTAATTTTGATAAAAACAGTCTGCAGAAACACTTTGATTGACATTCTCCCTTTGTACGTGTCATCAGAGCGGGAAAGCCAGGCCCATTAGTGATCATCTCTCCCTCATTAGCATAAGATGTTAGTCTTGTTTTTGAATCTGCCATTGAGCTGAAACAGGAGCATTTGTAGCTCCGCCCTCTTTTGAAAAGAGCACAATCTCATCTGAATTTAAAGTGACAGTTACCAAAATTACTCAATTAGGATCAAAGCTTAAAAGAGGCAGAGTTAAAAGAAAACAAAATCGGGGCTTATTTTGAGTTGAAACTTCACATACACACTCTAGGGCAGGGGTGGTCAACCCTGTTCCTGGAGAGCCACCTTCCTGCAGATTTCAGTTGCTACCCATATCAAACACACCTGAACCAATTAATTAGGACCTGAACACCACGTGATAATAACAGTCAGGTGTGTTTGATATGGGTTGCAACTGAAATCTGCAGGAAGGTGGCTCTCCAGGAACAGGGTTGGCCACCCCTGCTCTAGGGACATCAGAGACTTATTTTGAATCTTGTAAAATGGGGCATAATAGGTCTCCTTTAACACAGTTGAAAAGCTTGATATATGCTGAATGAATTATTTCATTGATATTCAGTTTTTTTCTCCTCTGTTCTGTCTTCAGGGAAGATTCACCATCGCAGCAAAGCATCACATCACAATCGCTGAGGTTTATGAGTCGGAGCTGGTGGACATCGAGAAGGTACTGAAACTCTTATGGTTCATTCCCACTGAGTGGTAAAGTTGGGGGAAGTACAGTATGCACTTATTTTCATTTCCTCTGTCAGTGGTAGTAAAATAATAAACAGTACTGTACCACCTTTTGGTATCCTTTCCTAAGGGTATTTAGCACAACAGTATGTTACCAAAGGGGTGGAGCTAGACTCACTGCTGAATGCTATTGGTTTACAGAAAATTGTCACTTGTAAGTGCAATATAACAAGAAAATGACAACACAGGAAGCGTTGATTTAAACACAGCCAAAACACGACATCTTCACTTTTTTCTTAATATATATTTTATTTAATTACACCAGAGTTACCAACCGTTACAGTGTTGTTGTTTTTTTTTTTGTTTGTTTTTTTTTTAATTAGAACACAACATAAAATCAGAGATGCATCAGAAATAGTCAGTAAGGATACAGATAGATACTTAAAAGATTAGGGAGAAAGGAAAAAGGGACATTT